CCTTTTGAGTTAATTTGTTAGAGTCTGCATTAAGTTCTTGGAACATAGAATCATGTGTAGCTAAACAAAATAATGCACAAGATATCAGTTTACCTGGATGAGTTTCTCTTGTTTTTTTGACAAAAAGTTGACATATTTAACTTTGCTGTTCTTTTCTTTTTCTCTTCCTCCCCTTTTGGTACTTTCCCTAATATTGTATACCTCTCAATCACTGAATCACTGCATGGTTGTTGCAGGTAGAGAAGTCATGCCATGTGTCAATATATGTACTATGTTTTCTATAATCCTATTGCATTCTGATCTCACTTCTATAAAAATGACTTTTGTAATCAGATATCATTTAGAGGGTGTCAGGAATATAGTTTAACCAGTCAAGTCATGTTTTAAATTTATCTTATACAGAATATGCATACTAATGCATCATGTTCTCAATGATTATTTTTTAATTTTTTATTTATGAACTCTGTTTTATTCATGTTGTTTTCAATCTGGAATCATATTTACTCTTTTTGCCCAAAAAGAACAATGGGTTTGAAGGATCAGGCATATTCTATAGGGATGACCTGAGTTTAGATACCTAAAACCCAAAATTTAGGTCAAATAAAACTCAACTCCAGATGCAGGGTATCTGACAATCTCTACTATGATAGATAATAATTGTACATATGGGAAACACCTCTCTACACACAATCTGGAACATATAAAAACTAGGAATGAATTTGTTTTCAAAATTTTTTGTTACTGTAAAACAACAATGAGAGCAAAACCAGTCTCTTTGAGTGGATGATTCTAATAAAATTTGTTTCTATTTTAATTTTTTTTTAATTTAGTTTTCATTTTACATACCAATCCCTCTTTCCCACTCTTCTTCCCCAACCTACTCTCCCTTCCTTGCAACTTTTGGGGTGAACAGAGAGGGTAAGGCCCTCACTCAGGGGTCAATAATGTACCGCAGACAAATCTGATGAAGGACCAAGCCTCTCTATCTTTTATCTCGACTGAGCAAGGTATCCCACTATAGGGTGTGGGCTCCAAAAACACTGTTCAAGCAACTGGGTTGGGTGCTGGTTTCACTACTCTGGTCCCCCTAACAGATCAAGTCACCTAAGTGTCAACCACATTCAAAGGGTCCAAGTTTATTGCCTTAAAGGTGCCCTAGCTGTCACTCCATACTCTGTGAGTTCCCACTAGTACAGTAGATGTGGTGTGGCTTTGTTGGAGAGGGCTTTCCCTGTTAGAGTAAGCACATCAACGTAGGGTCAGGCATTGATATTCTTAGTCTCAGGAATGATGCACAGTGTGTCAGACAATGCCCTGTTACCTCTGAGTCATGCTGTAAGGACTCTAACCTCGAGGACTGCAGCAGTCTCCATGATGTCATGTTCCCTACCATAACAGAACCTCTGAAATTTTAAGTGTAGACACTTAAATTAAAATGCTTTCCTTGAAAGTGTTGCCCTGGCTCTACAGTGTCTCTTACAGCATATTAGAAACCTAACAAAGACATATGTTGGTTCCAGGACCTTATTTTCTATTTCTTATGATAGGCTCTCCCTATCATACAATTTATTTCCTGATGTGTTCTCAGTAGTGTTGTTCTGGCAACTTGCCTCTCCCTTTATGTGTCTGTTTATTGGGATTTCTTTCTCAGGGCATATGCAAATTAAATGGCCAAGAAATGCTGCATGTGGACCTCTTATTCAGTTTACTTCTAATGTGACTGGGTGAATGCATCCTAGAATGTACATGTGTAAAACAAGTGAGGGAAGCACCAAGGATTATATGACTATATTGTCAAAGGACGTTTACATTTACAATGTGAGAATTATACTTCTTTGTGTTATTTTAGGATGCAGTGACCTATGACGATGTGCACATCCACTTCGCTGAGGAAGAGGGGCTTTCCTAATCCCCTTCTCAGAAGTATCTCTACAAAAATGTGATGCTGGACACCTACAGGAACCTCACTGCTACAGGTAAGACTGAATTTTCTCTTTTCATGTTTTAAAATAAGGGACCAACTGTTTCTCTGATTATTGATACTATTCTGTAATTTGATTAAGAAAAGGGAAAATTGGGTGAGTGAGGCATGGTTCTAAGGTTCATTGAAGTTATTACTTAAATTTTGTACAATTTGCAAGAATACATCATATATTTTCTGTTATTTCAGGCTACATTTGGGATAACCATAATACGAAGGATCATTACAAAGTCTAGAAGACACAGAAGGTAAATTTTCATGTGCATATTTATGCAAATTTGGCTCTGCAGATATTTTAATATATCCTGAAAATTTTATTGAAGAGTCACACTTAAAAAATTAAAAAGATTAAGAAGAGCAACAGTGAAAATAAGTGTAGTTTAAAGTACAGTGATGATTGTCATTTTCTCACAAAACCCTGTACCTCAGTGAAAGGTAGCTCTTCTGTGTTTGGCAAGGCATTTGTGTAAAATGAGAAGGAAACTATGTCTTAACATATATCACCCTTTGAATTATAGCACCCGGATATCTATTCTGTAGATATGCCAGTCTGTTTAGTTTCATTCTATTCAGATATTTTAAACAGTATACATGTTCAATAGGAGACACGTATATGTCCAAGACCTCCTAAGAAAAGTCTATAGTTAAGCAGGTATTTCTTATCTATTTGTGACTTTGCTATGGATATTGAAAGGGTCAGTTTATGAGTGTCAAGAAGGTGTTACGGAGAAACCTTAAATTTGATTTAAAGATAGTCAAAGTGTGAATGCTATGTGGAAACCTTTTATTTGTTTTCTTAGTTTCATAAGCATATCATATGTAGAGCCGTGTAGTTGTGGCCCATACCTTTAATTCCAACATTCATGATCAAGAGCAAGGTGGGTCCCTTCAGTTTGTGATCACCCCAGTCTACAAAGTGAGTTCCAAGATAGCTAGAATTACACAGAGACATTCTGTGATTAGAAAATGTAGGGGGAGTATTTAGTTTACTCTAAATACAAGCCATGTGAATTTAGAATGTGTAAAGAAGCACCGTACCTCTCTTAGGACAGTGAGAAGAAATGAAAGATATTTAGTAGTCCCCTCTTTGAGGATATGTGTTGAGGGTGAAACAACTTTCAAATTTATCAGTATTCCTAAGTCATCTGAAAGATACCATCAATTTACACTGTAGCAAATCCATATGACCGTTGGAATGTGTGAATGCTTCCATTTGCACTGGTATATTTAGCCAATGTAGTATGATTTCTATAAAGGAAAAACTGATAAATAGTATAAATATGGCAAAGCTCTGAGGTGATTTCAATTCTTTCAATTATATGGGAGATTTTATGTAAATAGATGCCATAATTGAGGGCCATGAAATAAAGCTCTTACTCTGAATCCACAGGTATCTTCCATGAAAACAAAACAATACCACATTAGAGAGCATTATGAATGTATAACTCAAGATCTGATTCTTGTTTACAATTAGGCCAATTACAACTTTATTTTATACATGTACTAACTTTCTTTAGTATCATGCATGTGGTAAAGTTTTACATATGCTAATGATCTTTGAGGAATCAAAGAAGCCATAAGGGAGTGAATCCTGTGAATATACACAATGAATGTGTGAAAAACTTTGTGGGTTACAGGCATCTTCAATGGCATGAAAAAAATTCATACTGGAGAGAAACCGTATAGAAGTCTAGAGTGTGGTGAAGTCTTTGCATATCACAATTTCCTTCTTCTCAATGACAGAGCACACATAGTAAAAAACACCTATGAATATAGTCAATGTGGTAAAGCATTTGCAAGACATACTATGCTTAAAAGACATCTTAGAACATATACTGGAGGGAAAACACAAGACTATAATCTATGTGGCAAATGTTTTTCACAATACAGTTATATAGTATGTCACAAAAGAACACATATTGGAGAGAAACCCTATGTATGTGAAGCCAATGTGGTAGGGCATTTTCACAAGTTAGTACGCTACAATCTCATCATAGAGAACACATACTGGAGAGAAAAACTATGTATGTAATCAATGAGGTAGCAGCGTTTCCACGTGCCAGGAATCTCCAGTCTCATCATAGAACACATACTAGGAGAGAAACCCTATGTATGTAATCAATGTGTTAGGGCATGTTCACATGACAGTACTCTCAAATCTCATCATAGAACACATACTGGAGAGAAACCCTATGTATGTAATCAATGTGGTAGGGCATTTGCAAGTAATGGTCATCGTAAAAGACATATAAGAACACATACTGGAGAGAAACCCTATATATGTAATCAATGTGGTAGAGCGTTTTCATATACCAGTAACCTCGGGAGTCTCATCACAGAACACATATGGAGAGAAACCTTATGGATGTAATCAATGTGGTAAGGCTTTTTTACAACACCCAATCTGGTATGTCATAAAGGTACACATACTGGAGAGATACCCTAAGAATGTAGTCCAATGTAGTAAAGCCTTCACAATATATGATGTGCCTAAAAGTCATATAAGAACACATACTGTAGAGAAACCTTATGGATGCCATGAATGTGATAAAGCCTTTGCATATCCCAGCACTATCTTACGTCATAAAAGAATGTATACTTGTAATATAATGAATTTATCCCATGTGGTAAAGCCTCTCTATGTATCATTAGTCTTTATAATCAAAGAAATAAATCATAGTGCATAAAAACACTATACATGTATCCATTGTTGTAATGCTGTGCACTTTCTGCTTATCCCAATGATCTTTGTGAGCCTAAGCAAACCCTTATAGGAAGGAATCTACCTAGAAAGGATGTGGTATGATCTTCATTCAACACACATTGACTTTCATAGTTTTCTGGAGAGAGAAATATCTGACACGTGTGAACAATCAGTTCAAGCACTACAATGCCTCTGTTTTGTTCTCACTTGCAAACTCATGTGGAAAAAGTCCTGGAACTTCATTTGTAAGGAAGCATGTTTCATGGTAACACTTGACTTGATTTACATAAAAACCTCATTCACATGGATTGCTATCTCTAAGCCCAATCCTTCATGCTTAGTTTCTTTTACATGAAATAATTAATGTTGCAGGGAAAACTTTGAATACTTTAAGACCCTGAACACAATGGTTACAGGATTGAGTACACATTGGAGAAAATTATTCAAATATGGAAATCTGTTTAGAGATTTGATTTAATTTTAATTATGTGATGTCAGTGTGTGAGTATGTGATTTTTCATGGTTTCTCACAAGGTTACACCCTTTCTTGAGTATTCCTGTAGTAGGAACTACAGTAAGTTCTCAGAAAACTGACATAGGTCATGGCAAAGTACTTGCCATAATTTTGTTCATCCACATTTCTAAACCTGTACGTATTTTAGATCCTATTTTATCATCTTGATATCAGGTAATAGGGAAGAAATCATGAATGAGGAAACCTACATCATGTAAATAATTTTGTGAACATATTAGATATCATACTTGTCTTTAGTCTTTATTGTTTTTGTGTTTTTTTCTGAGTTATGAATGCCCATTCTTAGGTTGGTTTGTTTCTTTCATATTTTTTTTTAATTTTATATAACTAAGTCCATTTAAATGAAAACAAACATTTATAGACAATATTTGGGCGTTGTTCTTTCCAAACTACTTCCTGCTGGTAAGGGGCGCTGTCATGGGAAATTCGAAGACGAGTCAGAAATCTTGGCTGTAGTCTGTCAGGCTGCTTTGTCCAGCTGTTTTGAATGTAGGATCACCTGGTATTCTGTTTCAGGTGGTCTGGCCTGATCAAACCACATTAGTCTGGAAGGAATCCACATCTTTTCATTTTCTGTGGAAACAAAAATAGAAATCCTTTTCCCCAATAACTTGTACTTGAACTTATATTTTGGTGTCAAAGCATTTTTTTTAATTTAATTTATTATTTTACATGTTGATCCCAGTTCCCCTCCATCCCTCCCAACCACCTTCACGCCATCCCTCCGTTTTACCCTCTCTGCCCTCTCACAAGCACTCTAATGACCCTCCCCTTCCATCCCCTCATCCCAGTTCCATATGTAGGGGAATGTCATCCATTAGGGGTCATGTAGGTCTGACAGGTCATGTGAAGTAGGGACTAGGGCTTCTCTCCTGTCTCTAGATTAAGGCAGTTAACCCTCCATGGGGGATGTGTTTTCAAAGTCCTTTTGTGGTCCAGGAATACATCCTGGCTGCACTGTCTGAGGGCGCTTAGACTGCTCAATCCTTCTGGCTGAGACCCATATTCAGGGGGGCCTGAGGCAGTCCCATGCTGCCTTCCCAGCTATCACTCTGGTGGCCCATTAGCTCCTCCTTCTTCAGGTAAGCTGTCTCTATGTGTTTCTGCCGCCTGGTCTTGTCCTCTCCCTCTGTATCTGAGTTCTAATTCGGCTCACTGTTTATGTGTGGGTGTTTGCTTCTGTTTCCATCAGGCATTATTTGAGGGGCTCCTTGGAGAAGTTAGTTGTTGATCTCACTCTCCGGGAAGGGCATTTAGGATAGCCTTTTGATAGAAGCTCAAATGGTTAGTTAGCAGCAGTCTTGTAGTTCTACAGACCTTGCTTTGTGTTCAATTTTATCTTAAAACCAATATTGACTCCCTCTTTTATGTTCTCTCTCTGTCTCTGTCTCTCTGTCTCTGTCTCTCTCTCTCTTTCTCTCTCTCTCTCTCTCTTTCCTGTCTTCTATTCCTAACCAGGCTCAATCTTCCTGGTGGCACATATTTTCCTTTCCTCCCCGTCGTTTTCTCCTACTTCTCTCTCCATTCGCTGCCCCCCCCCCACTTCCCCTGAGCTCTGGGGGATTTGTCCATTTCCAGTTCTGTGAGGGACTTTACATGAATCTCTTAGAATAAACCTTATATCCTAGTTCCTCTGGTGGTGTGAATTATAGGCTGGTGGTCAATTGATCTAGGTGTAAAATCCATATATGAGTGAGTACATACTGTGTTCCTCTTTTTGTGACTGGGTTACTTCATTCAGGATGGTTTCTTCATG